TCTTCCATGTAAGTGCAGGGGCCCAAGCACTTGGGCCATCTTCCACTGCTTTCATAGGCCATTAGCAGAGAGTTGGATCAGAAGAGAATCATCTGGAACATGAACTGGCACCCATACGGGATGCTGGTGTCAAAGGCAGAGGCTTAACCTACTACGTCTCCAATCTCTCAATTTTTTAAAAGATTTTTACTTACGTGTTTGAAAGGATGAGTGACACACAGAGAAAAAAATCTTCCATCTGCTTATTCACTCCCCAAATGGATTCAACAGTTGGGGTTGGACCAGGTTGAAGCCAGGAGCTTCAAAAATGAGTTAAAAATGGCCTTTTTAGCTAGCACTGTTGCACGGTGGGTTAAAGCCCTGGCCTGAAGCACTGGCATCCCATATGGGTGCCGGTTCTAGTCCCGGCTGCTCTACTTCCTATTCAGCTCTCTGCTGTGGCCTGGGAAAGCAGTAGAAGATGACCCAAATTCTTGGGCCCCTGCACCCACATGAGAGACCTGGAGGAAACTCCTGGCTCCTGGATTCGGATCGCTGCAGCTCCGCCCATTGCAGCCATTTCGGGAGTGAACCAGCAGATGGAAGACCTCTCTTTGTTTCTACCTCTCTCTGTAAGTCTGTCTTTCAAATAAATAAAATAAATCTTTTTAAAAAAATGGCCTTTTAAAAAATTTCATTTTCCTGAAATTGGTAAAGAGAAAGACAGGTATTGGTCTAAACTTTCCTAGGCAGACAATCTGAGTTACTTGCTGAGTAATGTGGCTTAAATAAGGATGATTATAATTAGTGAGTAAAAGTTTTTAATAATATTTGTTTACAGTAATAAATTAAGGAAGCATGATCAATTAGAATATCATCCTTTTATATGCTTCAAGTGAAATAATGAATGGATCTATACAGTGGTCACGAATAGCCACTAACATCACAGAAGGAGCAGCCATACTCTGTTGTCCTGTTGTTAGTATACATTTGCCCACAAAAGTAAACTAATTAGATCAGACCTCTAAATCTGCCAGTTCACAGCGAATGTATAGGACAGAGGTACTTGTTAAGTGGCATGCAATCAGTAATCTGAAATGTGAGACAATTGTAAGAAAAACAGCTCTGTCTCTTCAACAGATGGTGAGGGAGTGAAAAGGAGGAGCTGTTTATATGTTATAACAGAGACTTCAGGGGCAGGTGTTTGGTGTAGCAGTTAAGGTGCCGCTTTGGACTCCTGCGCTGCACATCAGAGTGCTTGATTCGAGTCCTGGCCTCGCCTCTGATTCCTGCCTCCTCTTCTGATGTGCTCCCTGGGAGACGGCAGATGATTGCTGTAGTGGTTGTGTCCCTGCAACCCATGTGAGAAATTCGGATTGAGTTCTGGTCTCCTGTCTTCAACCTGGTCCAGCCTCAGCTGTTACAGGGATTTAGGGAGTGAACCAGTAAATGGAACTCTCTTTCTCTCTCTGTCTTTCAAACACACGAAATATTCTTAATAGACGTAGCAACCACATGTAATATGTGCACCTTGGCACTTTGGACCCTAAATGGGACAGAACAGAGAGTGATAATTAGGGAAATGTGACTACTGTATATTGGTTTTCTATTACTGTGTAACAACTTACTCTAAAACTCAATGCTTTAAAACAGTTAAGTTTCTGTGGTTAGGAATCCAGATGTGATCTAACTGGGTCATCTGGCTCAAGGTATTTCACAAGACTGAGTTTATGGTGTCGACTGAGGCTGCGTTCATCTCAAGACTTCACTGGGAAGGATCTGCTCCCACGTGGATGTTGTAGGATCCAGTTCTTCGCTGCTCTTGGACTGAGTTTTTGGTTCTTCTCTGGCTGTAGACTGAGGCCCTGTCAGAATTTCTCTCCATGTAGGCCTTTCCCTAGGGCAGTTTGTAGCACACAAGCTGGCTTCCATCACAGGAAAGAAGTGGGAGAATAAGAGAAGGAAAAAGATGGAAGCCAGTGTCTTTTTGTAATCAACATCAGAAATAACACACCAGTTTAGCTACTCCATTTGTTCATTAGAGGACTCCCTGGACCCAGCTTGTATTCACGGGAGGAGCACATGAAAAGCTGTTAGTTGCATTCTTGGATTCTAGAAAGGTTATTGAAGCATTTTTTATTGCTGGAAAATATAACAAAATTTACCATTTTGGCCATTTTCAAATGTACAGTTCTGTGGTGTTAAGCTCATTCATATTTTTCTGCAACCACCACCACTGTCTAGCTCCAGAACCTTTCGTCATCCCAATCTGACACCCGCCACCATTAAACAGTAACTTCTCACACCGCTGCCCCCACCCATGGAAACCTCCATTCTGCTTTCCACCTCTGGAGTTCAGCTTCTCTGCGTGCTTCATTTAAGTGTAATCTGCAGTATTTGTTCAAGTTTCATCCATACCACAGCATGTATCAGTATTTCCTTCCCTCTTAAGACAGAACAATATTCCAAAAAAAAGAACAACATTCCATTGTGAATATGTACTGTATTTTATTTATATTTTCATTCATTGATGGACATTTGGTTTATTTCCACCTTTTGGCTTCTGTGAACGTGGACATAAAAATGTCTATTTGGTTTCCTACTTTCAGTTCTTTTGTGCATTTGTACAGAAAAGGAATTGCTGGATGAAGTGGGTGTTCTGTGTTGAATGTTTTGAGGAACCATCATACTGTTTTTCATGGTGGCTGTACCACTTTCCAGCCACCAGCAATGTACGCAAGTTCCGATTTCTCTACATTCTTGTCAGCACTTGGGAGTGTGTGTGTGTATGTGTGTGTGTGTGTGTGTTTTCTAATTTCACTGTTTAGGCAGGCTCTCTAATAATTGTGATATGGTGTCTCACTGTGGTTTTGGTCTTTATTTCCTGATGATTGGTGATTTGCAGAGATGTCTGGTCTGTTTGGAGTTCTTTTCCCGCCTTTAATTGAGAAAGGTTTTTTTTTTTTTTTTTTTTTAAAGATAGATGCTAAATCTTCCTTATAGTATATGAAGGGTCTTCAGAAGTTCACAGAAAATGCATAAAATGAAAAAGCTATGCATAAATTTCAAAAATTTCTTTGCATTCAAGAGACATTTTGGTTTTGTTTTCCATAAACTTTTGAAGCCCCATGTTCCTGGTGTAGCAATACTCTTTCTGAGGCCGGCACTGTGGTGCAGTAGGTTAATCCTCTGCCTGTGGCACAGGCATCCCATGTGGGCGCCAGTTCTGGTCCTGGCTGCCCCTTTTCTGATATAGCTCTCTGCTGTGGCCTGGGAAGGCAGTGGAGAATGGCCCAAGTCCTTGGGCCCTGCACCTGCGTGGGAGACCAGGAGGAAGCTCCTGGCTACTGACTTTGGATTGGCGTAGCTCCAGCCGTTTTGGCCATTTGGGGAGTGAACCAACGTAAGGAAGACCTTTCTCTCTGTCTCTCCTCCCTCTCACTGTCTGTAGCTATACCTTTCAAATAAATCAATCAAATCTTTAAAAAAACAAACAAACCAATACTCTGTTCTTTGTCCCTCATCAGATCTGGAGTGTCTTGAGGGCAAGAATTGTGCATCTTCTCTCTATCCCCTTGGTGTTGCTGTGTTGCCACACATGTAGTAAGAGGCAAATCCCAAAATGAATTTGTTACTCTATATTATGAAGTATACTCAGATTTATTTTATGTTTTTAAATTTTATTTATTTACTTTAGTTATTTGAAAGGCAAAGAAAGAGAAAGAGAACAACAGAGAAAGAGAGCTGCTATGCCCTGGTTCACTCCCCAAATGCTTGCAACACCTGGGCCTGGGACAGGCTGAAGCTGCGAGCTGGGAACTCAGTCCAGGTCCCCACATACTTGAGCTGTTTCCTGTTGCCTCTCAGGGTGTGTGTTAGCAGTAAGCTGGTTTAGGGAGTGGAGCCAGGACTTGAACTCAAGCCTTCTGATACAGGATGCCAGCATCCCCAGTCTTAATCTCTCTATGCTAAACACCACCCCCTTATACTCAGATTTAACCTTGGGATTTTTTTAAAGATTTATTTATTTCTGGTACTTTGCCTTTCAAAAAAACAGAGAATGAGAGACCAAGAGAGAGAGTTATCTTTTGTCCATTAGTTCACTCCCCAAATTACCTCAACAGCAGCTGAAGCCAGGAGTCTGGAACTCCAACTGGGTTTTCCACGTGGGTGGCAGGGACCCAAGTAGTGGGCCGTCACCATCTGCTTTCCCCCGTGCATGAGCAGGACGCTGGCTCAGACGCAGAGCAGCCAGCACGTGAGCAGGCCCTCTGATAGAGGCTGCTGCAGTTGTAAGATCCAGCTTAGCCTGTTGAGCCACAATGCAACCCCTAACCTGGGGTTTTTAATCCCAGAATCTTTGTGGTATAGAGAAATGTGAAGGAAAGACCATCAGCACTGGTTCCTCAAATAATCTCCTCACTGTATCTCTGTTCAAAAGTGATTGACACTTGTCCCTTACCCTTAAATGCCAAAAAAATCATAATATTTGTAAAAATGAATATAGCCATATGACTATTTTTCATCTTGGGTAAATTTTAAATTAATATATATTTAAAAATAATATTTTGAAACAAATATTAATAGTGGTGTAACTAAAATTTTTGGCAAATTTAGATATAATAAAAAAATGTTATTCTAGGAGTAGGTGTGTGGCTTAGCAGTTAAAAAATTTGTTGCGCCTGTGTCCCACATTGGCTCAATGCCCTTGTGTGTGATGCTTGCTCCTGCCGCTGGCTGCAGGAGCTAATGCAGATCTTGGGAGCAGGAGGTGATGACTCAAGCTGTTGGGCCCCTGCTACCCTTATGAGAGACTTGGATTGAGTTCCTGGCTCCAGGGATCAGCGGGCTGTTGCGAGCGTTTGGAGAGTGAGCCAACCAGCAGATGGGAGCTCTCCGTCTCTTTCTCTCTCTATTTTTCTCTCTGCATATCAAATCAAATACAGTCAATAGAATGTTAATCTTTATGTTTAGGAAACATAATAAAAAAAACCTTTGCTTTTTCTTTTTGTATTTGAAAGGTTGCTTTTTGATGAAGACACATCTCTTAGAGTTGAGTCCAGTTTCCACGAGTGCATAAGAACAGTATATGAAGGTAAGGATGATTCTTTTCATTATGTAGTCCCTTTAACTTCCCAGGTGCCATGGTTTGAATATGTGTCTTCTATGAATGGTGTTAAGAGGGTGGAGGCTTAATACAGCTGGGTGTTTGGAGATGGGGCCTTTGGGGAGTGATTACATTAGGTCATTGGGTTGGAGTCCCCATGATTGAAACCTAGTGGTTTTATAGGGGTGGGAGAGACCACACACACACACACACACACACACACAGACAGCCGTGAGTGCTCCCTGACTCCTGCCATTTCATGCTCTGCGCCACCTTAGCATTCTACCAGCAAGAAGGCCATTGCCAGACGAGGCCTCTACACCCTACCCCCAGACCCTTGAGGCAAAATAAACCTTGTTTCTTTATAAGGTTAGCCTGTTTCAGGTATTTTATTGCAGCAGTGGAAAGCTGCCTAATATTTTAAGTACAAGGGATCTTCAAAAAGTACATGGAAAATAGACTTCTAATATTTTTTGCAACAGAACACATGTCTTTTAATTCTATTGTTTATGAACTTTTTTTAAGTGCTCTTACATTTTCATTAAACTAACTTCTGTTATATTTAGTCTAACTTTACAGAGTTAGTTCCCTTTTTTGTTGTTGTTGTTGTTAAGATTTATTTACTGGGGCTGGCGCTGTGGCTCAGCAGGTTAAAGCCCTGGCCTGAAGCACCGGCATCCCATATGGTCCCTGGTTCTAGTCCTGGCTGCTCCTCTTCTGATCCAGCTCTCTGCTATGGCCTGGGAAAGCAGCAGCAGATGGCTGAAGTCCCTGGGCCCCCATACCCATGTGGGAGACCCGAAAGAAGCTCCTGGCTCCTGGCTTCAGATCAGCACAGCTCTGGCTGTTGTGGCCATCTGGGGAGTGAACCAGCAGATGGAAAACCTCTCTCTCTTTACCTCTCTGTAACTCTGTCTTTCAAATAAATAAAATAAATATCAAAAAAATTATTTATTTACTTGAAAGGTACAGCTACAGAGAGGCAGAGGCAGAGAAAGAGAGAGAAAAATCTTCATTCAACTGGTTCACTCCTAGATGGCCACAATGGCCAGAGCTGAGCCAATCCGAAGCCAAGAGTAGGAGCTTCTTCCAGGTCTCCTACATGGGTCAGAGACCCAAGGACTTAGGCTGTCTTATACTGCTTTCCCAGACCACAGCAGAGAGCTGGATCAGAAGTAGAGTGTCTGGGACTCGAACTGGAGCCCATATGAGATGTTGGCACTGCAGGTGGTGGCTTTACCTGCTATGCCACAGCACTGGCCCCTAGGCATCTTTTTTTAAAAAATACTTATTTAGTTATTTGAGAGGCAGAGTTACAGAGAGGGAGAGGCAGAAGGAGAGGTCTTCCACTTGCTGGTTCACTTGGCAAATGTCCGCAGCTGCTGGAGCTGGGCTGATCTGAAGCCTGGAGCCAGGAGCTTCCTCCAGGCCTTCCACGTGGGTGCAGGAGCTCAAGCACTTGGGCCGTCTTCCATTGCTTTCCCAGGCCATTAGCAGGGAGGTGGATTGGAAGCGGAGCAGCTGGGACTCAAACCCACACCCATATGGGATGCCAGTGCCGAAGGCAGAGGCTTAACCTGCTGCGCCACAGCACCAGCCCTTTTAGGCAACTTTAGCAGACTCTGAGGTTTATTCAGGTCTGTTACAATAAGGACAACAGTGGGGCTTGTAGCTTCCAAAACATGTTTAGGACTCCTAGAAAGGGCTCCAGAGGTGCTGAAGTAGCATGCAGGTGGCTCTCTTCCCTGCCAAGTCTCCAGCTTAACCTGGAGCCTGTCTGTTTATAAAGGTTAATAATAGTTTTTAATAATCAGTCATTATTTCAGGATAAAACTAAGCATTTTTTAAAACTTACTTATTTTAAGGCAGATATAGAGAGAGACAGAAAGAGATATTTCCAATCACTCCCTACATGCCTGCATCAGCTGAGATTGGACCAAGCTGAAGCCTGGAGTCAGGAATTTGATCTCGGTCTCCCACATAGTACTTGAGCTATGCTGCCTCCCGGAGGTGCACATTGTCAGAAGCTGGAATTGGGAGTGGAGCCAGGACTTGAGCCTAGGCACCCTTACATGTGGCATCCCATGCAGCATCCTAACTGCCACGCCAAGCACCCTCCCCCATACAGCTGTCTGTGAAAGTGTCTTTGAGTGGCTGGTGCTGTGGTGTAGTAGGCTATGCCTCTGCCTGTGGTGCTGGCGTCCCATATGGGTGCCGGTTTGAGTCCCGGCTGCTCCACTTCCCATCCAGCTCCCTGCTGTGGTCTGGGAAAGCAGTAGAAGATGGCCCAAGTCCTTGGGCCCATGCACCCATGTGGGAGACCAGGAAGAAGTTCCTGGCTCCTGGCTTTAGTTGAGGCCATTTGGGGAGTGAACCAGGGGATGGCAGATCTCTCTCTGTGTCTCTCCCTCTGTCTGTCAGTAACTCTGCTTCTCAAATAATAAAATAAATAGATCTTTTTTAAAAAGTGTCTTTGTCCTACCAATTCTCTGTCCTTCCTGAGTCCCCTTCCAGACGGTCGTTCACAGAGATGAATTCTGCAGCAGTGGTTTAAGTGTAAGCTTGGCTATTTCCTTTCATGCTTCTTCCCGGGAGCTTTATTCCCACTTTGGAAGATATCTGTAAATAGATGTTAAATAGAAGGAAAGTGGCCCAGGAGTGCAGTGGAGGATGACCCACGTGCTTGGGCCCTGCAGCCTCATGGGAGACCCGGAGGAAGCACCTGGCTTCTGGCTTCAGATCAGCACTGTGTACCGGCAGTAGCGGCCATTTGGAGGGTGAACCAATGGAAGGAAGACCTTTCTCTCTGTCTCTCTCTCTCACTGTCTAACTCTGCCTGTCCAAAAAAAAAAAAAAAAAAAGAAAAATGTTCTAAATATACACAAAGGTCTTCCAACTTTTGTGTATTATTTTGTAGGCCACAAAGTACTCTCACTGTATATCATCTCATCTGATACCCCAAATGAAAGCTATAGTTTGTTGTGGATTGATTTTTCCTACTTGTCATTGGAAGGGGAAACATGTGCTATTTGTCTACAAAGTGCCTTCTTAGGATATATAAAGTAGGAAGAAAAAGTTAGAGGTCTGTTTCAACATTCCAGCCAGACTTTTTTCTTTCTTTTCCAAATATATAGACTTTTTTTTAAAGATTTATTTTATTTATTTGAAAGACAGAGTTACAGAGAGAGGTAGAGAGAGAGAGAGAGAGACAGGGGTCTTCCATCCACTGGTTCACTCCCCAAATGGCTGCAATGGCCGGATCTGTGCCGATCCGAAGCCAGGAGCCAGGAGCTTCTTCTGGGTCTCTCACGTGGTTGCAGGGGCCCAAGGATTTGGGCCATCTTTTACTGCTATCCCAGACCATAGCAGAGAGCTGGATTGGAGGTGGAGCAGCCGGGACTAGAACCGGTGCCCATATGGGATGCCGGCGCTTCAGGCCAGGGCCTTAATCTGCTGCGCCACAGCGCCGGCCCCAAATGGATAGACTTTTATTATGTTTTCTGACTACTAAAAGTATAAAAGGCTGGATGGGCTTTGGCCCTGCTGTTAAGTTGCCACTTGGAATACTCACTTCCCACACCAGAGTGCCTGGTTTGTCTCCGAGCTATTCTGCTTCTGATACAACCATCCTGGGAGACAGCAGGAGATGGAGCAAGTACTTTGTCCCTGCCACATTTGGGAGACCCAGACTGTGTTCTGGGCTCCTGGCTTTCACCTGGCCCAGTCCTGGCTTTTGTGGGCATTTGAAGCATGAACCAGTGGTTGAAAGATCTTTCTTTGTCTTTTGGTCTCTGTCTCTCTGCTTTTCAAATATAAAGGTGTGTAATGTAGAAAGTGAAAGATCTCATCCCTTGCCCTTCCTTGTAATTCCACTCTCAGTAATGGTTAGTACTTAGTTTTTGTATAGCTGTTTAGACTTTAATGCCAGTTTTCATAGTTATCAAGCTATGTATGTCTCTCCTCTTCTCTGTGTCTACCACAACATTTTACTCGCCTGTTAACTTTTTATTTTTCATTTAAATAAGAATTTTATTTAGACAAGATGCTTTTTTTGAAGCAAAAACTGTAGTGGACCAGTGCTGTGGCATAGTAGGCTAAGCTTCTGCCTGCTGCACCAGCATCCCATATGGGCATCTGTCTGTGTTCTGATTGCTTCTCTTCCAATCCAACTCTCTGCTTATGGTCTGGGAAAGCAGTGGAGGATGGCCCAAGTGCCCTTGCACCCACGTGGGAGAACCAGAAGAAGCTCCTGGCCCCTGATCAGCTCAGTCTGGTCACTGAAGCCATTTGGGGAGTGAATGAGCAGATGGAAGACTTTTCTTTCTGGCTCTCCCTCTCTCTGTCTGTGATTCTACCTCTCAAATAAACAAACAAGACTTTAAAAAAAACTGTGTAGCATTTTTTAGAGAATAATTTACCCCATGTGAAGGCAGTTTGCTTTACATGTAACAGCTATATACAAAAATTTTTGAAATTGTCTTTGATTTTACAGTAAGGAAAAATCATTAAAATTCTCCAGGTAAACGAGGTGTGCAAGGATGTTTATATTGTTTAGTTAACATGGTGAGGGCAAAATAACTTACTGAGACAGAGATAAGAGCTGAGTGAGCATGCCACTAGTGGCCATGAAATTTGCACAGAACCTGTTTTATTCCATCTTATCTCCACTTGAAGTCAACCAAAATGTATCTGTCATTGGCCGTTTAGCTACAAAACAGGCGATATATATGCCAGTTACTTTACACATAGTAAAGGAACAGGCCAAAGGAAAATCTAAGAACACAGAAAACTCTCCCGCAGCAGTCAGAATGTGGTAGAAGCAAATTCTTTTTCTCATCGAGAATGTACTTAGGTATTGTTGGTCTGTAGGAGCAGGTACTTTTTCAAGTAGACACTTCCTGTCTGCTACTGGAACGCAGTTGCATCTTCATCCTCCACTGCACTGTGTAGGTGTGTGTGTTTCACTGATCACCTATCAGTCTGGAATCTTTCTTTTTTTTTATTTATTTTTATTTTTTATTTTTTTGACAGGCAGAGTGGATAGTGAGAGAGAGACAGAGAGAAAGGTCTTCCTTTGCCGTTGGTTCACCCTCCAATGGCCGCCGCGGCCGGCACGCTGCGGCCGGCACACCGCGCTGATCCAATGGCAGGAGCCAGGAGCCAGGTGCTTTTCCTGGTCTCCCATGGGGTGCAGGGCCCAAGCACCTGGGCCATCCTCCACTGCAATCCCAGGCCACAGCAGAGAGCTGGCCTGGAAGAGGGGCAACCGGGACAGAATCTGGCGCCCCGACCGGGACTAGAACCCGGTGTGCCAGCGCCGCTAGGTGGAAGATTAGCCTGTTTAGCCTCAGCGCCGGCCCATCCTGCACCTTTCAATGGTACAGTGGAGACCTCAGTCTCCATTCCTACCCTGGGCCATTTGTAAGCCATGGCAGGTGCCACTGTCTCCTCAGCTGCCAGTGTAGAAAGGAGATTCCAGATTCACATTGAAGGAGCTTATGTAAACCATTTATTTATTTATAAAAGATTTATTTATTTGAAAGTCAGAGTTAGAGGGAGAGACAGAGGCAAAGAGGTCTCCCATCTGTTGCTTCTCTCCCCAGGTAGCTGCAGTGGTTGGGACTGGGCCAGGACAAAGCCAGGGATGAGGAGCTTCTTCCAGGTCTCCCCTGTGGATGGCAGGGACCCAAGCACTTGGGCCATCTTCCACTGCTTTTCCCAGGCCATTAGCTGGGAGCTGGATCAGAAGTGGAACAACTGGGACATGAACCCACACCAGTATGGGTTGCTGGCATTGCAGGTGGCGGCTTTACCTGCTGTGCCACATCGCTGGCCCCAATGTTAACCTTTTAAGTTGCTGCATACTATTCAATGGCATAATTGTACTTTACACAATGAATTAATAATATTTATATGAATATTACTGTGAATAGCCTAATACTTGCATTTTGTTTACTTTTCTGATTATTTTCTTAGAATAAATATCTAAAAGTAGGTTTGCTATTATGGTGTGTATTCATGTTTGTGAAATCCTTGGGATGTGGAAGCCTAGCTTTTAAGACCGTTGCAGATGACTTATGATCACATCTCCTTTTAGGCCTGCCTTCTCCTGAGATTCCACTTAGGTTCAAACTCTGCAAGGATCCACAAAAACAAGTGAATAAGAATACGATGATGCCTGTTCCTAGTGAGGGCACAGTCTCACAGGTATGCAGCATGTTGATTGAATATAGTTATTAAAAACTGGAAGTGTCTCTCAAAGTGGCAGATTACTAATTGTCTTTGATATTTTGCTCCTTTCTGTTTGCTTACTCCACACAGTCATCCTATTTCTTTGTTGCAATTTGGTGAAAGTCTTTCATCTGTTGGGCAGTAAGGGGGAATTTAATTTAAGGTATTTTCTTTTGTCCCCTTGCAGGCCTTTTGTGGTTTTCTTTTTCTGGTAGAGAGAGAGATGTGAAAGGAAAAGAGGTTAAAATGGGAATACAGTAACTCAACTTAAGTGTGTGAAGATACTGATCTGTGTGGTATGTGAGCTATGGACCACTGAAAAGGTCCTCCTGCTCTCTCTGTGTACACACATAGTGTAAGAGTTCTCACTTATTTGTTTCTTTTTGGGAGCACCATGGGGAAAACTTGGATTGATTAGGTTACTCCCTTGCCATAAATAAGTTAGCTAACCAGAGAGGCCTGCAGAATTTTAGAGAATGGAAGGGACAAATAGATGGATAGATAGATAGAAGAAAGGGATAGATAGATTTACTTATTTAGATGTATATATTTATTTGAAAAAGAGAGAAATCTTCCATCCATTGTTTCACTTTCCAAATGGCCATAACAGCTAAGACTGGGCCAAGCTGAGGCCAGGAGTCTGGACCTCCGTCTGGGTCTCTCATCTGGGTGGAGGGACTCAAATACTTGAACCATCCTCTGCTGCCTTCCCAGGTACATTAGCAGGGAGCTAGATTGGAAGTAGAGCAGCTGGGACATGAACCAGCATCCATATGGTTCTCCCTTTCTCTTTGTAGCTCTGAGTTTCAAATAAATAAATCAAATTTTTTTATAAAGTAAGTTGAAGAGAATTTTTTTATAACATAAGTTGAAGAGTTCAAGAAAGGGAAATTAATAACTCCAAGCTTAATTTTATGAGCGTATAATGGAAGAAGGAGGAGGGTTGGTAAGGCTAGAACTCATGGAAAGATTGTGTATCTGTGCACAAAATGATCTTTTTAAGCCCCAGTGGGCAAGTAACATTTTCTCCTACGACTGTCTCTCTGAGACATAAATTATTGGGACACATAAATGCAAGATGATTTTTCAAAACACAGGGAATCCAGCTGGCACTGCAGCTCACTAGGCTAATCCTCCGCCTAGCGGCGCCGGCACACCAGGTTCTAGTCCCGGTCGGGGTGCCGGATTATGTCCCGGTTGCCCCTCTTCCAGGCCAGCTCTCTGCTGTGGCCCGGGAGTGCAGTGGAGGATGGCCCAAGTGCTTGGGCCCTGCACCCCATGGGAGACCAGGATAAGTACCTGGCTCCTGCCATCGGATCAGTGCGGTACGCCGGCCGCGGCGGCCATTGGAAGGTGAACCAACGGCAAAGGAAGACCTTTCTCTCTGTCTCTCTCTCTCTCACTGTCCACTCTGCCTGTCAAAAAAAAAAAAAAAAAATCAAACACACACACACGCGCACACACAGGGAATCCCCTGACTCTCCTGAGCTGATCAGGAATGCCATGAGTATCTGTTGGGGAAATAGAGTTAATCAGCTCCCTCTCCGTGATGGCACCCAGCAGGCCTGCATACTGGTCAGTTTGCAGGTCAGTGGGCCCAGAAACTGAGAGTTCTGCTGTGTAACTCCTCAGCTGCCTGCCACTGCTGTCTGTCAAACATGTGAGAAATGGAGGACAGGACTGGGCATGGATCTTTTTGCTGTAGCTCCTTTGCTGCCACGAGAGTGGAAGTGTTGCCTGGGTATTCTCACCCACCCCCATGAGAATAAAGATACGTGAATTCCCAAAAGGCTCTAAAGTTGTTCTGAATCTGAACCTGTCCTTTCCAGAGCCGAGCTCCACATCCCACAATATCCTTTTCCTGACTCTTAAGTTCATTTCTTCTGATTCAGTTCTTCGGATCCTAGAACTACTGTCTTTGTCCAGAAGTTGAAGTGGCTTAGGAATGTTTCTGGGAATGAGTGGGATGAAAGCAGGTCTTTGGAACCTGATTCAGCTACCATAAAGACAAATTTTTAGAAGATTTTATTTATTTATTTGAGAGGTAGAGTTACAGACAGTGAGAGGAAGAGACAGTGGCTCTGCAATGGCTGGAGCTGGGCCGATCAGAAGCCAGGAGCCAAGAGCTCCTTCCGGGTCTCCAAGCACTTGGGCCCTCTTCTGCTTTCTCAGGCCATGGCAGAGAGCTGAATCCTAAGAGGAACAGCTGGGGCACAAACCTGCACCCATATGGGATGCCTGTGCTGCAGGCGGAGGATTGACCTACTGTGCCACATCGCCAGCCCCAAGCCATTTTTTTTTAAAGATATATTTTGTTTGTTTGCAAGGCAGAGTTCTAGAGGGAGGGAAGGAGAGCAGGAGAAAGGGAGAAAAAGAGTGAGAGATATCTTCTATCCACTGGTTTGCTCCCCAGATGAGCTAGGCCAAAGGCAGGAGCAGGAACTCATCTAAGACTCCCACGTGGGTGGCAGAGACCCAGGTGCTTGGGTCATCTTCTTTTGCTTTCTCAGGCTCATTCGTATTGGAAGTGGAACAGCTGGGACTCAGACTGGTCCTCATATGGGATGCCAGTGTTTCAGGTGGCAGCTTAACCCACTGCACCCCAACACTGGACCCAGACAGTTCTTACTCAGTAGTTAAACCGGTGTGTTTAGGTTGTATTTAAAGGCTAGTGAGTGGAATTTCAGAATGTAAGCATTTAAGAATACAGAAATAATGTACAAATGGCACTGTATGTCCAGGTAAAGCCCTCTAAAATGCAATCACATGGAAATATTAAAGAGAATCTACATAGGTAAACAAATTTGGGTACTTCAGTCTGAGAGAAGACACATTATAAGCAAGTGTTGTCAGCAGTTCTTCAAGGTCCATAAGACACTGGGGGATCTTGTGCTCTACTCTGTAGGTTGTGGAAATGTCTGCTGGATCGTGGAGAGCCAGGCTTGGCGACTCAGCCCAGTAATCTGTGACTCAGTTGAAGAAAATGGCCTCGGGGAGTAGAAGGTTGCTTTTCTGTGAGGATATATGTGTATACGTAGATTTGCTGCTTTTGCAGACCCTGCACATTAACACATTTATGTTAACCTCTCTTTCACCTTTCATTCCACACCTTCAACAAATAAAACACCAAGAAAACCCTACAGTTTAATGGTCTGGCCAAAGTACAGAGGTGGAGTCGTAGGAGGGAAATAGCAGAAAGAGAGGCTGGCACTGTGGCACAGTAGGCTAAGCCTCTGCCAGTGGCACTGGCATCCCATATGGATGCTGGTCCAAGTCCTGGCAGCTCCTCTTCTGTCCAGCTCTCTGGGAAAGCAGTGGAAGATGGCCCAAGTGCTTGGGCCCCTACATCTGCAAGGGAGACTCAGAAGAAGCTCCTGGCTTCAGATCAGCCCAGCTCTGGCCGTTGGCAGTCGTTTGGGAAGTGAACCAGGGGATGGAAGACCTCTTTCTCCCCTTCTCTATTGTACCTCTGCCTCACAAATAAATATTAAATAGCAAAAGATAGCAATTTGAGTCCCTTAGGAAAAAATTGATTATGCCCTTCTGTTGCTTAACAGATGAACAGTTTCAGCTCCCATTGTGCTCAGAGGCATTAACTCATGCCTGTAGAAAAGGAAACAGAACAAAACAAGACACAACAAAAACAGAACAGCTATCTGGTTCATCTTCCCTTCTCTCCTGCTGTCTTGTCTTTTGCATTTATCAATGTGAGTAGGGTCAAGTGAAAAATGAACCTGCAACAGGGTGTGTATTACTGGTCCCTTAGTGAGCAAAGTGAGTGTTGCCGATACTGGAATGAATTGATTTGTGGCGTGCAGGAAATACCTGGTAAGTGTGTAAGTATATCCTGTTGAATGAATCCTTGGAAATTTCTAGATCTGTCTCTTGAGGTTCTTTCTTACCTCTGGGCCTCTGAGCTTTGTTAAGTCTTCTTAGGAAGTTTATACATGAGGAACTGACATGATATCTAGGTGGGGTTGTATTATCTGTAAATAAAACTATCATTAATTGTTGAAGACTGAGGTTCTCTGTTGTGTAACTGTATTGTGATCACTAAAATGTGTGCAGCTTTGGGAAATGACTTTATTTTTAGAAAGCTTTAATGTTGATCATAGAAACAAACGGGGTACCCAAAGAGAGGTCTTTTTCTAAAGATCTTTGATGCTGACAACATATTTAAGGCAAGGGTTTGTTTTAAGGTGATGAAAATCAATTTGCCATGAAATCTTAAAATAGAAGCATTTTATTAGTGCATTTCATCCTTTTTTAAAAGAGATACATCTTCAGATTTTGTGGTATGAGTTGAGAATTAGGCAGAATGAGTTTGGCACTCAACACTGTGACACAGAGTTGTATAATTTCTGGTTCTCAGGAGAAATATTCAAACTCAGAACCTGACAAGAATGGCTTCTCAGAAGCCTCATAGGTTAATGAAGAGGGGTGAAGTAAGAATAAAAAAAGGAACACTTCCCTTTCTTTTCATTTAAGTCCCACAAATTCTTTTATAGAGAGAAGTTAAGACAGAGAAAAAAGAGCCAAAGCTATAAAACCCTTAGAAGATGACATGGTGGGAAGGCATCCTGACACTGGATTTGGCAATAATGTCTTGAATATAACACTAAATACACAGCTACAAAAGAAATGATAGATGTTAGATTTCATAAAAGAAATAATAGATATTAGATTTAATAAAAGGAATAATAGATGTTAGATTTAATGAGAATTGAAAACCATTGTATGCCAAAGAACACTGGCAGAAGAGTGAAAAGGAAATCCATGGAAGGAGAGAAGATATTGGCAAATCATGTCTGATAAAGTGTTAATATCCAGAATATATAGAGAATTCTTAAAAATCAGCAACAACTACAAAAGACAAACAAAAACTGGACAGGGCAGGCATTTTGATAGATTAAACCACTGCTTAGGACTCCTGCATCCCCTGTTGGAATATCTGGATTGAATCTCAGCTCTGCTTAAGATCTGCCTTCTTGCTGATGGTACTATAAGCAGCAGCAGATGATGGCTCAAGGACTTGGGTCCCTGTCTCCTGTGTGGGAGACCTGGATTTAGTTTGTGGCTCCTGGTTTTGGCCTTGCCTAGCCCTGGCTGTTGCAGGCATTTGAGGAGTGAACCAGTGGATGGAAGATCTCTCTCTCTCTCTTCCTCTCTTGCTCTGCCTTTCAAATACATAAAAATCCACAAAAAACTTCAATAGATATTTCACCAAAGAAGAAACATGAATGGCCAAGAAGCTTATGAAAGGATGCTCAATATCATTAATCATACAAACTCAAACTACAGTTAGTTACCACTTCGCACCCAAGAGGGTGACTATTATAATAAAAAATAGAAAAAAGCAAGTGTGGGCAGGGATATGAAGAAACCTTTGTGGAAGGTTTACAGAACCCTTGTGCGCACACAAAATGGTGTTACTGCTGTGGAAAGTGATATGGCTGGTTCTTTTATTTTTTTAACTTTTATTTAATAAATATAAATTTCCAAAGTACAGCTTTTGGATTACAGTGGCTTCCCGCCCCCCCCCCACTTCCCTCCCACCCACAACCCTCCAGTCTCCCGCTCCCTCTCCCATTCCATTCACATCAAGATTCATTTTCAATTATCTTTATATACAGAAGATCAATTTAGTATATATTAAGTAAAGATTTCAACAGTGTGCATCCACACAGAAACACAAAGTGTAAAGTACTATTTGAGTACTAGTTATAGCATTAATTCACATTGTACAACACATTAAGGACAGAGATCCTACAATGGGAGTAAGTGCACAATGACTCCTGTTGTTGACTTAACAATTTGACACTCTTGTTTATGGAGTCAGTAATCACCCTAGGCTCTTGTTATGAGTTGCCAAGGCTATGGAAGCCTTTTGAGTTTGCCAACTCCGATCTTATTTAGACAAGGTCATAGTCAAAGTGGAAGTTCTCTCTTCTGAGAAAGGTACCTCCTTCTTTGATGGCCCATTCTTTCCACTGGGATCTCACTCATGGAGATCTTTCATTTAGGTTATTTTTTTTTTTTTTTTGCCAGAGTGTCTTGTCTTTCCATGCCTGAAATACTCTCATGGGCTCTTCAGCCAGATCCAAATGCCTTATGGGCTGATTCTGAGGCCAGAATGCTGTTTAGGACATCTGCCATTCTATGAGTCTGCTGTGTATCCCACTTCCCATGTTGGATTGTTCTCTCTGCTTTTTAATGCTATCAGTTAGTATTAGCAGACACTAGTCTTGTTTATGTGATCCCTTTGACTCTTAATCCTATCATTATGACCAACTGTGAACTGAAACTGGTCACTTTGACTAGTGAGATGGCATTGGTACATGCCACCTTGATGGGATTGAATTGGAATCCCCTGGCACGTTTCTAACTCTGCTGTTTGGGGCGAGTCAGATTGAGCATGTCCCAAACTGTGCATTTCCTCCCTCTCTTATTCCCACTCTTATATTTAACAGGGATCACTTTTCAGTTAAATTTAAACACCTAAGAATAATTGTGTGCTAATTACAGAGTTCAACCAATAGTATTAAGTAGAACAAAAAAAATACTAAAAGGGAAAAGTATTAAGTTGTTCATCAACAGTCAGGACAAGGGCTGATCAAGTCACTGTTTCTCATTTCACTTCAACAGGTTTCCTTTTTGGTGCTCAGTAGGCTGGTTCTTAAGATTAAATGTAGAATTATCATACAATCGAGCAATTCCACCTCTGGGTATGTTCCCCAAAGAAGTGAAAGTGGGGTCTCAAAGAGTTACTTCTACCCTTGTGTTCATATAGCCTCCCAAGATGGAAACAGTGCAGGTATCCATCAGCTGGTGAGTGGACAAAATGTACATACATACAGTGAACCTTCAAAAGGAAGAACATACTGACGCATGCTGGCAACCTGGAAGACATTGTGATCAGTGAAATAAGCTAGTCAGAAAATGACAAATATTGCATGAGCCCCCTTGGAGATACATGCAAGTGATGGTTGTACAATCTTGTGAATGTTCTTGATGCCACAGAACTGTATATGTAAGCGTGGTTAAGATGGTGAATTGTGCCACAATAATGAAAAGAAGAAAGAACATACAAGAATTACCGTGAGTGTTAGTGTTTAGTTTGTGGTGTTGGATTACCCTATCAGTTTGAAAAAAATTACTATTTTCTTCTTAGCAACCTCCAGGTGAAGCAGGACAAATTCCAGCTTTGTTACAGTAAGTTCACTAATTTTTGCTTCTCATTATATTGTAAGTTTAGTTAATTTGTTGTGGTTTTGTATATCTAAGAAGAATCTTAATTTTTTTTTAAAAGATTTTGTTTGAGAGACAGAGTTAGAAGAGAGGAGGGAGAGACAGAAAGTTCCATCCTCTGGTTCACTCCCCAGATGGCTGCAACGGCCGGAGCTGGTCCAGTCTGAATCCAGGAGCCAGGCACTTCTGGGTCTCCCATGCAGGTTCTTTCCCAAGCCATAGAGGGGAGCTGGATGGGAAGAGGAATAGCAGGGACTAGAACCAGCACCCATATGGGATGCTGGCGCCACAGGAGGAGGGTTAGTCTACTATGCCACAGTGCTGGCCCCAATCTTAATTTTCTTAAGACTTTTGGAATTATTTTATATATTTTGAGTAATTGTCCTTTTAGAGGCACAAGTATGTATTATTTTACAGACATTCTAGTTAAGTTTCATTTCACACAAAAGAATATCAGATTTAGGTAAATTGATTTTCTGTTAATACTGTTTTAAAAGCAAACTTGGAGGCTAGCATGAGAAAAGAATTTAGCTTACTAAAATTAGATTTTATACAACTATTATAACTTGAAAAAACTTTATCCTTTCAGTTATTTTAAAACAGTGATTTTCAAAGTATGTTTTGAGGATCTTCTGGAGTCCCTGAGATTGTTGTAGAGAATCTGTGAGGTCAAAACCATTTTCAAGCCAGCGCCGCGGCTCACTAGGCTAATCCTCCACCTGCAGCGCCGGCACCCCGGGTTCTAGTCCCAGTAGGGGTGCTGGATTCTGTCCCGGTTGCTCCTTTTCCAGTCCAGCTCTCTGCTGTAGCCCGGAAAGGCAGTGGAGGATGGGCCAAGTCCTTGGACCCTGCACCTGCATAGGAGACCAGAAGAAGCACCTGGCTCCTGGCTTCAGACCAGCGCAGTGCGCTGGCCGCAGCGGCCATTGGGTGGTGAACCAACGGCAAAGGAAGACCTTTCTCTCTGTCTCTCTCACTGTCCACTCTGCCTGTCCAAAAAAACAAAAAAACAAAAAAACAAAAAAAACAAACCATTTTCATAATGATACTGACTTTGCCTGTTTTCTGTTTTGTGATGCCAAAGCCCTTGTGAGTAAAATGGTGGTGCCTTAATAGGAATTATGGCTGTGACACCAAACAATACTAGTGATTATTGTATTTTTCGCTGCCATATACTCTCAGCCAAAAAAAGGCCGTTTTTAGATGAGGATATGTTTGATGAAACAGAAAAGTTACTAGTTTTATTAAGTCTTTACCTTTGAATGTATTTCTCTTTAATATTTTGTGTGATGAAATGGGAAGTTTAGCCTACCAATTCAGATGCCATCATCCCCTAAGTACCTGGGTTCAATACCTGGCTCTAGCTCCTGACTCCACCTTCCTTCTAATGCAGACATCTCTGTTGTTCGTTTGTTCATCCATCCATCCATCCATTTATTTTTTACCCAGAAACCTTTTATTTAAGGTATACAAACTTTATGCTTTTCATAATACAAGTTTAGGAATATAGTGATTCTTCCCACCCACGCACCCACTCTCCTTCCTCCTCCCCTCCTATTCCCATTCTTATTTTTTCTTTTTACCAAGATCTATTTTCATTTAACTTTATACGCATAAGATTAACTCTATACTAAGTAAAGAGTTCAACAAATAGTATGAAAAAAAAAAAGCTGTTCCTCAAGAGTTGAGACAAGGGCTGCACAAAATCATTGCATCTCAAAATGTCCATTTCACTTTTCTTTTTTTGACAGGCAGAGTGGACAGTGAGAGAGAGAGAGAGACAGAGAGAAAGGTCTTCCTTTTGCCGTTGGTTCACCCTCCAATGGCCGCTGCGGCCGGCGCATCGCACTGATCCGAACCAGGAGCCAGGTGCTTCTCCTGGTCTCCCATGTGGGTGCAGCTGCCCAAGGACTTGGGCCATCCTCCACTGCACTCCTGGGCCATAGCAGAGAGCTGGCCTGGAAGAGGAGCAACCGGGACAGAATCCGGTGCCCCGACCGGGACTAGAACCCAGTGTGCCGGTGCCGCAAGGCGGAGAATTAGCCTATTGAGCCATGGCACCAGCCCCATGTCGCTTCTATAGATTACCTTTTAGGTGCTCTATTAGTTACCACAGATCAGGGAGAACCTATGATACCTTAATCCATGTCTAACCTGCCAGGCTGTCCCATTGTTGAATCAAGCTATGGCTTTATTTTGTTTTCAATAATCTTGTTCTGCTCAAAGCATCACATTTTAGGAAAAAAAACAGCATTCTTTCCTTTTTGCTTCACAGAAATTATCATTATTTATGAGTAGTTTCATTTCTGTCTTCAAGATAGTTTATATTGATCACTTCAGTTTTGTGGTAGAAGAAAAGGCTAATTTGTTATTCTTGCTTAAGATTCAAGTAGCTATGCCTGGAACATAAAAACTGATTTCTAAAGCTGGAGCAAGGGACTTTTGTGTGTTTTTAAAGGAAGACACTTTGGTTGCACTTGTGCAGTAAATTAGGCTGAGGGAAAAAAAAGTGGCTGATTTGCCTTTCTTCAGTCAAATATTTTTAATTTTTTTTTTTATTTGACAGAGCTAGACAGTGAGAGAGAGAGACAGAGAGAAAGTTCTTCCTTCTGTTAGTTCATCCCCCCAAATGGCTGCTACGGCTGGAACTCTGCCGATCTGAAGCCAGGAGCCAGATGCTTCTCCCTGGTCTCCTCATGTGGGTGCAGCTGCCCAAGCACTTGGGCCATCCTCCACTGCCCTCCTGGGCCACAGCAGAGAGCTGGACTGGAAGAGGAGCCACCGGGACTAGAACCCGGCTCCCATATGGGATGCTGGTGCCGCAGGCAGAGGATTAACCAAGTGAGCCACGGAGCCGGCCCATCTTCAGTCAACTTTTAATTATTCAAGTGAAGATGATCAGAATTGCAGATTACGCATGACCCTTATTTTGCTTTCCACCTCTTCCCTTCAGTATTTCCTGCCCTTTCCATCATGACCAACTGTCGGTGTGTCTGTGGATGGCCGAGCTACGTAATCATTTTCTCCTTGGCCCACTATTCCTACCTGGCAGTCATCAGACCTCATTGTGGTTTAACTTGTTTGAGCATTAATTTTTCAGTTTTCTCCTTCATTTTGCAACCACTTAAAATGTAAAAGTTAACAAATTGGGAATAGTTATAAAAATATGGAGGTATATCCTATTTGGAAAGCCCTTTAAATAAAAAGAAAACTTAAATGGTATTTGCATGAGAAAGGGTGGTTTTTCTTCCCATTTCAGATTTATTTGTATTTACTGATTGATGTGCTTTTAGGAGCAGTTGTCCACCACTTGCCGTGCTGTTTCCTCAGGCTGTGTTTCCACTGAACCACGGAAACACTGGAGGTAGGTTTTCATGTATGTAAGTCTGAGAAGAGGTGGTTTTCACGTATATAAGTCTGAAGTGGTGGTTTTCACGTATGTAAGTCTGAGAAGAGGTGGGTTTCACGTATGTAGGTCTGAGAAGAGGTGTGTTTTCACTTATGTAAGTCTGACAAGAGGTGGATTTTCACATATGTCTGAGACAAGGTGGGTTTCACGTATGTAAATCTGAGAAGAGGTAGGTTTTCACGTATGTAAGTCTGACAAGAGGTGGGTTTTCATGTATGTAAGTCTGAGAAGAGGTGGTTTTCACGTATGTAAGTCTGAGACAAGGTGGATTTCATGTATGTAAATCTGAGAAGAGGTAGGTTTTCACGTATGTAAGTCTGAAAAGAGGTGTGTTTCATGTATGTAAGTCTGAGACGAGGTGGTTTTTCACATATGTGAGTCTGAGAAGAGGTGGTTTTCATGTATATTAAGTCTGAGAAGAGGTGGGTTTTCACGTATGTAAGTCTGAGAAGAGGTGGGTTCACTTATTATGTCTGAAAAGAGGTGGATTTTCACGTATGTAAGTCTGAGACAAGGTGGGTTTCACGTATGTAAGTCTGATGAGAGGTGGGTTTCATGTATGTAAATCTGAGAAGAGGTAGGTTTTCACGTACGTAAATCTGAGAAGAGGTGGGTTCACTTATTATGTCTGAAAAGAGGTGGTTTTCACGTATGTAAAAGAGGTTGGTTTCACGTATGTAAGTCTGAGAGGAGGTGGTTTTCACGTATGTAAGTCTGAAAAGAGGTGGTTTCACGTTTGTAAGTCTGAGAAGAGGTGGGTTTTCACGTATGTAAGTCTGAGAAGTGGGTTTTCACATTGTAAGTCTGAAAAGAGGTGGGTTTTCACGTAAGTTTGAGAAAAGGTTGGTTTTCACATTGTAAGTCTGAGAAGAGGTGTGTTTCACGTATGTAAGTCTGAGAAGTGGTGGTTTTCACGTATGTAAGTGTGAAAAGAGGTTGGTTTTCACATTGTAAGTCTGACAAGAGGTGTGTTTCACATATGTAAGTCTGAGTAGAGGTGGGTTTTCACGTATGTAAGTCTGAGAAGAGGTGGGTTCACTTATTAAGTCTGAAAAGAGGTGGTTTTCACGTATGTAAGTCTGAAAAGAGGTGGTTTCACGTTTGTAAGTCTGAGAAGAGGTGGGTTTTCACGTATGTAAGTCTGAGAAGAGGTTGTTTAAACATATGTAAGTCTGAAAAGAGGTGGTTTTCACGTAAATAATTCTGAGTAGAGGTGGGTTTTCACGTATGTAAGTCTGAGTAGAGGTGGTATTCACGTATTTAAGTCTGAGGTGGGTTTTCATGTTTGTAAGTGTGTGAAGAGGTGAGTTTTCACGTATGTAAGTCTGAGAAGAGGTGGGTTTTCACGTATGTAAGTCTGAGAAGAGGTGGGTTTTCACGTATGTAAGTCTGAGAAGAGGTGGGTTTTCATGTATGTAAGTCTGAGAAGAGGTGGGTTTTCACGTATGTAAGTCTGAGAAGTGGTGGGTTTTCACGTATGTAAGTCTGAGAATTGGGTTTTCACGTATGTAAGTCTGAAAAGAGGTGGTTTTCACGTATGTAAGTCTGAGATGAGGTGGGTTTTCACGTTGTAAGTCTGACAAGAGGTGTGTTTCACGTATGTAAGTCTGAGAAGAGGTTGGTTCATGTATGTAAGTCTGAGTAGAGGTGGTTTTCACGTATGTAAGTCTGAAAAGAGGTGGGTTTTCATGTATGTAAGTCTGAGACGAGGTGGGTTTTCATGTATGTAAGTCTGAGACGAGGTGTGTTTTCATGTATGTAAGTCTGAAAAGAGGTGGGTTTCACGTATGTAAGTCTGAGAAGAGGTGGGTTAACGTATTAAGTCTGAAAAGAGGTGGTTTTCACGTATGTAAGTCTGAGAAGAGGTGGGTTTTCACGTATGTAAGTCTGAAAGGAGGTGTGTTTCACGTATGTAAGTCTGAGAAGAGGTGGGTTTCAGGTATGTAAGTCTGAGAAGAGGTGGTTTTCACATATGTAAGTCTGAAAACAAAATTTGTTCATGCCTAAAAACAGAAGGCTTATTTATGTATGGATTTATGAATGATTAGTCTGATGCAGCGTGCATCTTTTATTTTTCTAAGATTTATTTGAAAGTTGGAGTTACACAGAGAGAGGCGAGGCAGGGGGGTGGGTCTTCCATCTGCTGATTCACTCCCCAGTTGCCTGCAATGGCCGGAGCTGAGCTGATTCGAAGCCAGGAGCCAGAAGCCTCCTCTGGGTCTCCCACGCGGGTGCAGGGGCCCAAGGACTTAGGCCATTTTCTGCTGCTTTCCCTGGCCATAAGAGAGAGCTGGATCGAAGTAGAGCAGCTGGGACTTGGACCAGCACCCATATGGTATGCCGGTGCTTCAGGCCAGGGCTTTAACCTGCTGCACCACAGCGCCAGCCCCGCAGCATACATCTTCAAGTGAAGTTGGTGTTGATGGTGACCCTGGGTCGTGCTGTGCACTTGAGGGGAGAAGCAGAGCAGGTGTCGTCAGTACCAGCTGCACCAAACGCTCGCTCTTTTGACTTGTGATTTTAAGGCTCAATTTGAAACCAGTGCTTGTTTTTTTATGTTCATAACATTTCTTAATATGTGTGTTGTGCCTTTTTTGGCTGACAGTCACACAGGCCAGTATTACCCTGGGTTTTTGGCTGTATTAGTAGATGGCATCTTTGTCTTGAAGTACCATGTGGCCAACCACAGACCTTTTTTTTTTTTAGATTTATTTACCTATTTGAAAGGCAGAGTGACAGGGAGGGAGGGAAGAAAGAAGAGAAAGAGAGAGAGAGGGAGGGAGGGAGAGAGAGAGGGAAGGAAAGAGAGAGATGCTTCTATCCATTGATTTACTCCCTAAATGGCCACAATAGCCAGTGTTGGGCCAGGAACCAGGAATTCCATCCTGGTCTCCCATATGAGTGGCAGGGACCCAAGTATTTGGGCCATCTTTGGTGCCTTCCTAGGTGCATTAGCAGGGAGCAAGGTGGGAAGTCTAACAGGTGGGACTCAGACCACACCTCCAGTATGGGATGCCAGCATTGCAAGCTGTGGCTTAACCTGGTGGTGCACAACACTGGCCACTACTAACACTAACTCTTACATGCACTCCTAATCTCTAGATTTTGGTTTTTAATAGTACCTGTTCATTCTTGTAACAAGTATTGAGCCTTCTTTGTGCCCAATTTATGGGTGCAGTGAGTGTATAAATGCTAAATAAACGAGGATCCTTACAGAATTGGTAACCGTCTTATAGCTTGAAGATAAACAGGATGGCTCTTAACATCCTGTCACTGCTAAAAAGCAAGGACTCTCAATGATGTCTGGGGTCGGTGCTGAAAAAATAAGGAGCTGACTCGTTATGCTTCTGCTGATCAGTTTGGTAGAGGCAAAACAGTGATTCTTAGTTCATGCTTCGTGTGCCTTGTCCTTTATATGAAATGTTTGAAGTATAAACATTTACTGGGGCCGGCGCTGTGGCGTAGTGGGTAAAGCTGCCGCCTGCAGTGTTGGCATCACATATGGGTGGTGGTTTGAGTCCCGGCTGCTCCGCTTCCATTCCTGCTCTCTGCTATGGCCTGGGAAAGTAGTAGAAGATGGAAGACCTCTCTCTCTGCCTCTCCTTCTCTCTCTGTGTAACTCTGACTTTCAAATAAATAAATACAATCTTTAAAAAATCATTTACTTTAAATTGTTTAAGGGAATTTAAATTCATAATCAGTATTTAAATGTTCAAGAAGCAGTAATTTTCAAGTTTTCATCTTTTCGATATAAAAGTTTAATAAACTGACTTAAATAAGTGCAAATAGTAATTGATTTGTTCTTCAGATATGTAAAAGACTTTGTGACTTGGTAAAAGTCAGATCATTATCAAATAACCTGACATGATTCAGACTATGACGAATGTACCTTTTACAAGATGCAGCTGTTGATACACTGAAGAGGCACGTTGATGAAACTGACAGAGGGACCGTCTTAGAGGTTGAAGTCCTTTATCCCAAAATGATCTTAAGCAATTTGAAACCGAGAAATCAGGGACGATGTTATGCCTTAGGCATTCCTTTTCCTTCTTTGGATTTTGGCCTTGGCAGGTGTCAGCAATTGTTACATAAAAGATCTATTCTCATGCATGATCCTAGTATTTATAGGAAAACAAGGGTCCACTCTGTCCTCCACTTCACATAGCTCCAGCCTCCTGCCCACTTGCCTTTTGGGGAGCCGTTGATCCCTTGTGATGCTGTTGATTTCTGTGTACTGTTGTCCTGCCCTTAATGACTGTGTGCTCTCAAGTCTCACTGACGTGCCAGGATGAGTAGTTTGTGATTTTCTTGCTGCCCTGAAGCTGTGGTGACTAGAGACTGGCGTTGGCAGTTCCCATCCCTTTTAGCACTTTGTTTCAGCTCTCTCTTGCTTCTACTCCTTTCTTTGTGTTCAGAACAGAAAAATCATTTAATTCCAGACTGTAGGTTAATCTTATGGAAGTACTGTTTAATCATTAGCTTTTGTAGTTGACTCTGTTTAATATAAATAAAGTCCTATCTTCTCTCTCCAAATTGAAAGGGTAATTCTAATCAAACTGTAGAATGACCAGAATAAGCCAATTATGTTAATTGTGCTAGCTTGGCCTTAGAGTGTTTGTGTATAAGTTAAGTTTATATGCAAGTTAAAATTGTTGTGTAGATTAAAACTCAGCTCCTATGGCCACATTCTTTGTCTTTGACACTTCAGAGTTAATTCTTACACATACCATTACATTATTTCTCTCTCAAATGCAAAGTAGAGGAATTACAAAGTCTTCTAGTAATTATAGAGTATATACAAGAATTAAGAATAATGCTTTTTGGGCTGACAGTGTGGTACAGCAGATAAAGCTGCTGCCTTTGACACCAGTATCCTATGTGGGTGCCAGTTCGTGTCCCTGCTGCTCCATATCTGATCCAGCTCCCTAATGGTCTGAGAAAAGTAGTGGACGATGGGCCAAGTGTTTGGACCCCTACCACCCACATGAGATACTTGGATGAAGCACCTGGCTCCTGGCTTCAGCCTGGCCCAGTTTGGCTGTTGCAGCTGTCTGGGGAATGAACCAGCAGATGGAAAATCTCTCTCTCTTTGTCTCTCTATCTCTCTCTGTAACTTTTTTTTTCTTCAAGATTTATTTATTTAAAAATCAGAGAGACTTTACACACACAGAGAGAAGGAGAGGCAGAGAGACAGAGAGGTCCTCCATTTGCTGGTTCACTCCCCAGTTGGCTACAATGGTTGGAACTGCACCGATTCGAAGCCAGGAGCCAGGAGCCTCCCCTGGGTTTCCCACAAGGCTTCAGGGGCCCAAGCATTGGGCCATCTTCTACTGCTTTCCCAGGCCACAGCAGAGAGCTGGATTGGAAGTGGAGCAGTCAGGACCCGAGCTGGCGCCCATATAGGATGCTGGCAGGCAGCGGCTTCACCCACTACGCCACAGTGCCGGCCCCTCTCTGTAACTTTCAAATAACTAAAAAGATAATATTTTTTGTATTTGTAAATTTAAAGTACACTTCATAGTTAGAGAATGAGAATTCCTTCTAAAAATTCTTTAATACAGTAATAAATTACTATAAAATATTTTACTGATTTATTGAGTTTTGAAAATAGGAACTGCAGGCATAAACCAGAAATGATCATTTTGAAGATGCAGTGGTTGAAGACAACAAGGGAGGATGTGAGATTCTTTGTTTCAATGCAGGGGAGGAGGAAGAGGGTGAAATCTTCTTGTCCGGTTTTAACTTTAACCCTCCAAGGATCTGAGAGTTTCGTTTAGGAAAGACTCCTTGCAAGCATAGAGGTTAAGATTCAGACTGTAAATGTGCCATCACTGCTTGACACAAAGGTTTCTAAAGCAAGGATGAGAAATTATTTGTTCTTAAGACTTTTTGCTTAGCATCGTTTGAGGGAATGGAATGCCATGAACGTAACTTTCCTAGCTGGTTTCATAGTCGTCATTTCTTTTCTTTTTTTAATCATTAAATGGCAAAGGTGAAGCAAGAAAAAAAAAACATATTGTGGAAAATGTGAAGCTCTGTGAATGTATTTATACTTATTCTACTTCCCCCCGCAACCGTCCCACCTGAAAAAATGTGTCTGCCTTGAATGTGCATTCTGAGGTTCAGCAAATAGCTGCTTTCTTTTATTCTAGTTGTATAGATGGTTCAGAAGAAGCCAGACGTGACCAAACACGCTTGAAGCATCCATAGTCCTGAATTCCCACCCAACTATGTCAGAATACCTGAGTCTTGGTGGTGGAGGTAGAAGGCAAAGGGAGTGTGGAGTGGAAGTACTTTTTCCCTCGTCTTGGCTCAGTCTGACTTGACTTGAGCTGCCATCGGAGGACTATGGGGGCAAGGCAGCAGTCCTCATACTGTTCAGGGAGACTTCAAGATTTGTTTATTTGTTTGAAAGGCAGAGTTATGTTGAGAGAGAGAGAGGGAGAGAGAAGATTGACAAGATCTTCCGTTCACTAGGTCACTCTGCAAATGGCCTCAAAGAACCAGAAACTTCATCCAGGTCTCCCACATGGGTGGCAGGGGCCCAAGGACTTGGGCCATCCTGCTGCTTTCCCAGGCATGTTAGCAGGGAACTGGCTCAGAAGTGGAGCACTGGACTAGGACGGGCACCATATGAGATGCAGGCTGTGGTTTAACCCACTACACTACCACGCTGGCTTCTCCAGGGCCTTTGACTCCTTCTGGCCCCTGTGGGTGTTCGTTTCATGCCTCTCTCTAGAGGCGTGAATTCACATAAGCTTTGTTACCTGTAATGGAGCAGATGATGATACTGGAAAAGTCAGAATGGTTTTTCAGCCAAAAAAGAGTTAACATTGATTTTTGGCTAAACTAATTTCAGATAATTACAAGTCTATCTGAAGGCATATACAATTTTTGTTTAAAAAAATGGAGCAATTTTATAACCTCATTGCCAAGACAATAGTAATTTTATATTAATAAATCCATATTTATATGTCACTCGACTGAGGGGAACTCAAGTTAATTGATTGTAAAATGCTGAGTGAGAGGGCATATTTTTAGTACTGTAATAAACAAATAAAAATATATTGTTGTCTTCTAGGACCTGTGGCTGAAAGTCCTGAAGTTCTGCTGTACCCGGAAAAGGTTGGTCTGTGTCACAGAGATTAGTTTTGTGGAACGTGGATTTAATTAAAAATGTATTGAAAATGTTTGTCTGGGGGCCAGCGGTGTGATGTTGTAGGTGAATCTGCAGGTGCAATGCCTTCATCCCGCATATGGGGGCTGGTTCCTGTCCTGGCTGCTCCACTTTGGAACCAGCTCCCTGCTAATGGCCTGGAAAAAGCAGCGAAAGATGGCCTAAGTGCTTTGTCCCTCGTCACCCAAGTGGCTTTAACCTGGGCCAGTGCTGACCGTTGAGACCATCTGGAGAGTGGACCAGTGGATGAAAGATCTCTCGCTGTCTGTCTCTCCCTCTTTCTCTGTAACTCTGACTTTCAAAATAAATAAATAAATCTTAAAGAAAATTTTGGTCCTTACCATGGAGATTAGCTATGTAGATTATGGATTTTAAAAAAAATGTTTCAGTGACAATATCAAGTTCATTCAGTCTCCCCTAGGCAAGAATATGACTTAGGCTCCATTTCAATAGATAGAAATCTTTTTTGTCCGCCGCGGCCGGCGCGCTGCGGCCGGCGCACCGCGCTGATCCGATGGCAGGAGCCAGGAGCCAGGTGCTTTTCCTGGTCTCCCATGGGGTGCAGGGCCCAAGCACCTGGGCCATCCTCCACTGCACTCCCTGGCCACAGCAGAGGGCTGGCCTGGAAGAGGGGCAACCGGGACAGAATCCGGCGCCCCGACCGGGACTAGAACCCGGTGTGCCGGCGCCGCAAGGCGGAGGATTAGCCTAGTGAGCCGCGGCGCCGGCCGATTATGGATTTTAAAAAAAAATGTTTCAGTGACAATATCAAGTTCATTCAGTCTCCCCTAGGCAAGAATATGACTTAGGCTCCATTTCAATAGATAGAAATCTTTTTTGTCAATAGGTCTTCCGGTGTTTATTCTTCCTTGTGTCTAACAAAATGGGGTTTTCTATCTGTTTCTCAGCCAATGTGATGTCTGGTACTGTTTGTCTGGAGAAGTGTGTTACTTGTTAAGCTCGTTGCAGACATGACTAGTGAATTCCTGCTGTCCGCTTGTCTGTTACACTAGTCCTTCCAATACCTTGTGGTGGACACTGCTTTCTCTTTCTGGTTGCCTTCAGTGTCAACTTCGTGCTTTGGCTTTGCTTTCTGCTTGCTGTCTTGGGAACCAGAGGACTGTCCCCCGGCTCTCCCACTCTGCAGGGATAGCAAGCGGCAGAGCGTCTCCTCAGGCAGCCCTGCCATGCCTGTAGCTGTCTTTATCTCAGGTGCACCTTGCACAGTCCTGCCACCATGTCTTTTTACTTAAGCAGAGAGCCAAAAGGCAGGGGAAAGAATAGAAAATTTGGAACCAGGTTTAGGTTCCAAGTGCCACTCTGCCACATACATCTGTAAAGTACTGACTGTGAAACTCATTTCACGTAGGTGAGGACTCAGAGCACTGATGGCTCATGGTATCTGATACCCAGCTGATGTTTAAGAAATAGTGTGTTCCTCTCTTTCTCTTTCTCTCTCTCTTTTTTAAAGATTTATTTTATTTATTTGGAAGACAGAGTTACAGAGAGGTAGAGACAGAGAGTCTTCTATCCATGGTTCACTCCCCAGAGGGCCACAACGGCCGATCTGAAGCCAGGAGCCAGGAGCCTCCTCTGGGTCTCCCACGTGGGTGCAGGGGGCCAAGGACATGGGCCATCCTCCACTGCTATCCCAGGCCAAAAAGAGAGCTGGGTCAGAAGTGGAGCAGCGGAACTAGAACCAGCGCCCATATGGGATGCTGGTGCTGCAGGCCAGGGCTTTAACCCACTGTGCCACAGTGCCGGCCCTCTCTCTTTTTTAAAGATTTATTTATGAGGCTGGCATTGTGGTGTAGTGAGTTAAAGCCCCGGCCTACACCACCAGCATCCCATATGGGTGCTGGTTTAAGTCTTGGCTGCCCTACTTCCCATCCAGCTCCCTACTGATGTGCCTGGTAAGCAGCAGAGGTTGGCCCAAGTGCTTGGACCCCTGCACCCAAGTGGGAGACCTGGAGGAAGCTCCTGGCTCCTGACTTCAGCCTGGCGCAGCCCTGGTTGTTGCAGCCATTTGAGGAGTGAACCAGCAGATGGGAGACCTCTCTCTCCTTATCTCTACCTCTCTCCATAACTATTTCTTAAGTAAACAAATAAATGTTTTTAAAAATATTTTTTTAAAAAAACAGATAAAGAGAAATATCTTCCATCTGTTGGTTCACTCCCCAAATGTTTGCAATAGCTAGGGCTGGGCTAGGACAAAGTCAGATGCCCGGGATTTCATCCAGGTCTCCCACATGGGTGCAGAGGCCCAAGCCCTTGGGTCATCTTCTGCTGCTTTCTCAGGCCATTAGCAGCGAGCTGGATCAGAAGTGTGGGAGCTGGATCAGAAGTGGAGCAGTTGGGACTTGAACCAGTGCTCACATGGGATGCCAGTGTTGCAGGTGGCAGCTTTACCCTCTGCCACATGCTGGCCCCATCCTCCCCTTTACTCTTTTACAAACCTTTAATTTCTGGCTCAGTCCTACCCCTTCTGTGTATCTGTTTCAGATAACTCTTATGATCTTGACCAGAGTAATTGTTCCCTGTCTGGTAGTCATTATTCATTGACTATATAAATATTTCTTAATCCCATGAACCCTTTCGCATTAATAGGTCTTTGTGAAGGATTTTTTGGATCAATAAGTTTGGAAAATACCATGTCCTAAGTCCTTAAAGGTTTACAATGCACATGCTCTGAAAAGTCCCAGTAAGGCAATTTGTTTAACTTTATTTCACCAAGCATTTTTCTAACATTTGTGAAAATCTGGGACTGGCATGACATAGTGGGTTAAGCTGCTGCTTGTGATGCTAACATCCCATGTGGGCACTGGTCAGTCCCGGCTGCTTCACTTCCTATCCAGCTCCCTGCTAGTATGCCCAGGAAAGCAGGGGAAGATGACCCAAGTGCTTAGGCCCCTCCCACCCACGTGGGAGATGTAGAAGAAGCTCCTGGGCTGTTCAGCTGTCCATGGCAGCTCCTCCTTGTTAGCACGTGATTTAAACCTAGCGGGGTTTAAATACAGCCCAGCTACTGTTACTCTTGGCCCAGTAGTCAGCGTTTAATTGTGTACTCAGTCATTAGTAATTTGGTATAGGAGAGCAGTAACGAATATTCTTTTTATTTATGGAAGGTTGGAGGGGGTGTTTGACAACCCTTTGAAAATAATCACTTATTTAATAGGTAGAGAGAGAGAGAGAGACAGAGCGACAGATACAGAGCAGTCTCTTGTTGATGCCTTCCCCAAATGCCTGTATGGACTGGGTTTGGCCAGGGCTGAAGCCAGGAGCCAGGAACTCAACGCACTTCTCCACATGGGTATCAGAGACCTGCCCATTTAACTCCAGCATTAGCTGCATCTTAGGTTGTGCGGTACCAGGAAGCTCGATTTGGTAATCAAGACTCAAAATTAGGTAGTCTGGAGGGAGACACAGGTCTGTCTCTAACCAGCGTATTCACTGCTAGGCCAGATGTCCGTCCCTGAATCTTTTGAGGATACCTTACAAAGAAAATACATTATAAAACTAAAACTTCATTTTAAACACTTTTTGTATATGTCCTAATCATAGAATTTCTATTTGGCGTACACAGGACCTGAGTGAAGACACAGATTCCCCTGAAGTTAGCCTTTTTTCAGGCGCTGCTGTTACAGTACCTGACACAGTTGCTGTGAAGAAGTCATCAGCGGAGCCAGAGACGGTCTTAGCCGCATCAGATCCGCTTCCTGAGTGTGGTTCAAAGGAAGTCTCACTGGGTGTGACTCGTGAAGAGAACTCTGATGCAGGAAGTTCTCTCGAAACTTTTGTGTCTGCCTTGGAGAGTAAGTTGCTGACATCACCAGGAAGTGGCTGGGAGGAACGACTGTTGGAACTGTCGGAAATAAAGAAGGATGCTGACCCTGGAGACTTGCTGAGTCCACTGAGAGACTCCCTGAGTTCCGTCCCCCTGCCTCTGACTGCCTGGATGGCATGCAGCGGAGATTTACCGCAAGGCACAGGAGGTGCGGCCTTGCCAGCTGAGTTGTTGGCAACCCTGAATGCGTCGTCAGAAGCCAGAGTGGGGCCCATCTGTCATGGAGAAGAGGAAGGTGGCAGTCTCAGTGCTAGAAACCAATCTTTGGAAGTGGAGCTCGACGAAGACTGCACACAAATAGCAGGGGTGGATTTGGAGTCTCTTTGTTACACACCACGTGAACACGGTTTCAGGCTAACTGAGCAGCGGGACAAGCATCTGACAGCAGAGAAAGTAGGTTAAGTATGAGGCTGTGAGTTTGCCTTCTGTGGTGACCTTTAATAAGTCCTCATTGTGTGAAGTTCACATTTTCTACTCAAATATCAACACTCAGATGATACTTTGTAATTTGAAGCAAACAGTGATCTTTTTAGAAATTCCTGTGGGATAGAGTTTCCAGAGGAATTAGAAAATTGGATAGATTTCTTCCCAGTAGACCCAAGAAGACATATTATTAGGTTGCTTATATAAAAGAAGGATTAATGCAAGAGACTTGGCGTTAATTTATAATTAGACATAGAACATATGCATTAGGCTGCCAGGAGAGGGGAAAAAATTGTGCCTCTCTTCAGGCTTAAGAAGAACTTTGCCTTCTGCGTCTGAGAATACTGCCCAGTGTCATAGCTGCGGGAGTTTAGAATTTCTGCCGTTCCAGCCCAGGTGGTTCTGCAGTGGCTGAGGTCCTTTTTCATGTTGGCAGTTTGTGTCCTCTATAAAAAATTCAGATATAGAATTACAGCTCCAGTCTCTAGAGATAAGCATTGTTAAAAGTTTCATTTGTTTTTATCATGTTCTATGTAAAGTTAATTTATACAAAAATGTCATTTGTATGCTTATTAACTTCTAAATTTCATATCTTGTTTGTCTTTCATGTAAGGAAATATAGCACTGTTTACATCTTTTAATTTGCTGAATGGTGACCAACTGTATCAGTATGTTATTATGAATTTAACCAGTTCAGTAATGCAGTCTCTTGGATAGTTCTTTTTCTCTTTTTTTTTCCTTTTGGATATTCTGGTTGGTCAAATGATCTTATGAACACCCTTGGGAAGACTTAAATAACCTAGCGCTGAGCTCAAGATGAAGCACTCAAACCCAGAAAAACACTGCACACATTTCAGTTAACAAATCTCCAAACCGATTTAATAAAACTAAAAGAAATCCAGAGATATAAAAACTAATCATGGAGAAAGGACATGAAAAGTCACATAGTGTTATAATCTGAAAAGAAGTACTATGAATAAATATATGAAATTATGATCAATATTAATGTGAGCAGAAACTTAGCAAGTCTTCAAAAGAAAAGAAAAAGGAAACCCCTTCAAAAGTAGAAAGGAGATTTACTAATTGAATACTCTTACTCAGCTATCATAAAAATATGGAATTTATAACCTTGAGAGATTTGTAAGCTATATATATATATAGACTCAAGAAAATTTTAGAATATATATATATATGTATACACATATCCTCAAAAAAGTTAATTCTGTAATATATTTTTAAGGGGAAGTTAGGAATTCATGCTATGCCATTAACTTTTAAAAATCAATGTAATGGGGTTTATATACTATCTTGTTCCACAAAATATCATTTGTTGCTTCTGTCAAATCACAGAATACTGGGCTGAGTGAACCTCCATTTGGCCTTGTATGGACTTTCTAATGTTTTCTGAATCTCATTGTTGTACACTAACCACTTCCTGCATAAATTAAAGCACCAAAATGACCTTAGGTTGTCCCTTGCATTTTTTTTTTTTGTGACAGGCAGAGTGGACAGTGAGAGAGAGAGACAGAGAGAAAGGTCTTCCTTTGCCGTTGGTTCACCCTCCAATGGCCGCCGCGGCCGGCGCATTGCGGCCGGTGCACTGCACTGATCCAATGGCAGGAGCCAGGAGCCAGGTGCTTTTCCTGGTCTCCCATGGGGTGCAGGGCCCAAGCACTTGGGCCATCCTCCACTGCATTCCCGGGCCACAGCAGAGAGCTGGCCTGGAAGAGGGGCAACCGAGACAGACTCCGGCGCCCCAACTGGAACTAGAACCCGGTGTGCTGGCGCCGCTAGGGTGGAGGATTAGCCTAGTGAGCCG